TATTTATTCTTTTATTTTAGTCAGATGAAATATCGAAACATCCAAGTGTGTTGTTCTCTCTTTAGTGGTACTCTCCTTATCGACAAATTGAGTTTTACAGGCAAAAATCGCTTCCCAGCTTGAATCTGAAAAATTAAGTTTTGACAACCCATAGAAGACGTGACCAGGGTTACCAGATTGACTTTTTCATCCCTGGTGCCAAATTTGGCGAAAAATGATACCGCCAAAGAACCATCAAGAAGTCTTTGGGATTGATCCTTCTGAAAATTTCCATGAGGCAGTATAAGGGACCTTTGATACAAAGGTCCAATAAGACGAGATCAGAATCTGCTTGGTTGCGATAAGAGAGAGAGAGACTATTTTTCTGAGTTCCTGCTAGTGGATCTGTTCTAGAGAGCCGTTTCAGCAACGTTGTAAAGTTTGTTTATGGCGAATGCGTGTGTGTGTTCCACTTATGTAAATAATCTATTAAAGTATATTTTTTTTATGTATATACTAGCAGGTATACCCGTTCTTCGCACGGGTAAATTGAAAAATTAAACAATACAGATTAAAGGATAAAGAAGTTTTTAATGAGTTAATTTTACATGAATTGCAAAATAAACAAACAAAAAAAAGCTTTTCGCATATCTCAGCTGAACATAAAAAAACAACAACAGATTTCTTGAATTTTAGTCTGTAGATCTAATAGCTAATAAAAGGGATTTTTTTTTATTTACTTATAACTCCCCATAACTCTCTTGTCAGTCTATTTTTGAAAACACCTTCGTAAGCTGATCTCTGCTCAGTAAGAAGTAACCCATTGTTACAAATTTTGTGTAATTAACCCTCTAAGTGGATACCTTCCTCCTGAAAAGTTATTCCGAAAGCATTTTACTCTTATTTTGCTATTCCCTTCAAAAATGCAACAGACTTCAATTCTTTCCCCCTTTTAAAACTTGGGAGGCCGAAAGGGGACAATTTTATGACATTTCAAGGTGTTAAACCTTTAAAAGAGGGAAAGGATTTCAGAAAAGTGTGGCTAATCCGCTTTTGAAAACGTTACTTGAAGGCAGAAAAATCCGTGCAGTGCATTTTCGAAGAATCTTTACACTGACGGAATTTTCCGTGCTATCCGCTTAGAGGGTTAACACTTAAAATGGTGTAAATAATTTATAGCTGGAAGTGTAATACGTTAATACTACTTTCTGTTGCATTTATTTTATGATAAAATCTTGCCACCGTCTCTCCCTTCGAAATATAGTTTTATTATGAAATAAAAAAATGATTACATTGATCAACGGAATAAATTAAAAGCGAGCGTCACTGAGGCATGGCGTAGACAAAACAAACAGGGAAAGTTTTGCTTCACACAAAAAAGATAGATATATGCTGTCGCGGGCATTTTTGCAGATGGCAGATTTTTTTCCCTTTCTTGACAATTGTCGTTATATTTAGGAAACTTCACACAGTATAAATTATAGCCTAAGTGTATTTCTGATGTATAAGCTATATTATTGTAAAGTTTCAATAAAATCCATTTAGTTGTTTTTTCGTGAAAGAATAATAAACATCTCCATACAAACTTTCGCGTTTATAATATTAGATAGGACACGTCTATTAAACTTCTTGTTGTTCTCTGCTCGTCCTCGTCTATTAATAAATCTGTTGTTCAAATAAATGGAGAAGTCGGCTGCTTCTTTCCCCATGCAAATTTACAACGATATATGCTACTACATCACATCATAGTATCTAAAATATTGTTGGTACATTTTTAAAAACTCGCAGGAAATATTTATGAACAGTATTATAATGAAATCAAAGGATTAGCGATTCATTTTTTTATCTTGCCGTAAAAAGTACTTGGTGAACAAAAAATAACTGCTTTGAAATATTGTTTCTTTTATAGGTGAATAAAAATTTGAAGTGTTGTGCATCAATTTTTTTTTCATTTTTAATAATTCTAAATATTAAAAATTAAGTAACACTTAAAAAATTTTACTTAAATTTTTAAGAAACTTGAAGTATTTCGTTTTAATTCATTTGACAGCATACACCTAGGAAGAATTCTTTTATTAATGAAAAATAATAAGCGAGCTTTTTAGAATTTTTCATACCCAAATTTCGTTCCTTTTACGACATTTTTTAATCACCAAGTCAAGAGGAAACTAAATATTTCTTAACATAAAGCTATAAAGTGAAGTTTACCTTTTCTTCTTTTTTTTTAAAAAAAAAGGGGGAGAACTGAAACTACTTCTCTAACGAGTTTTTACTTTTTTTTTTTGCCTCTTTTAAGGAAGTAATTGAGTGTAGCAGCAGAAGTCTTTATCATGGTTAAAGTTGTTAAATTTTTTGCTTTTCTTTTGGTTCATTGCTTTCTTTCCATCAACGCTGTTTGTTCCGTGAAAGTTTAAAATGAGAAGCTTTTGCTAAAAAGTTTAAAATTTTTGTTTGCCTTGAAGGGAAAGGAAATACCATTTGTCGAACTTTAAAAAAAGCTTCGAAAAAAAGATATGCAAACGAGAAATTTGCTAAGTATAAAATGTTTTGGAAGTTTTTCTTTCTGTTAAATAAAATATTATACCATTATTGCACTTAGTAATGTATTATATAACTGGAAATTATTATATTCAATGATTTCTTAACAATGATAATTTTTTAAACAAAACTTTAAATTTGCTATAAGTTGCACATATATTTTAAAAATATTTTTTAACGAATTTTGGAAACACAATTAAAAAAGTAATAGAAAAAAAGTTAAGTCAATTCCTGCTTACAAGGAGAGGGCACGACTAAGGAAAATCATTTGGGATCGAGACTTGGTGTAATAGTAGTACTCCTTTAGGGTGTTCAACCCTCAATGTAATTCCGCCGAATGGCCAGTCAATTCGGAGAAATTAGGCACCGAAATTAATGTTTAGCTTTTATACAATTACCGTAACATCCGGCGTATAACGCGCACTTTTAACACAAGAAACAAAATCGTGCGTTATACGCCAGGTATAAAAACGATATCTTAAAAATAAGAAAAGAAATGAGCAAAAAAATTTTTTACTTCTACATGTGTATCGGAGTAGTGTTTATTTAAAATAAATGATTTGACTTACGAACTAAAAGAGCTGTAGTTATAGAAATGTGTGTATATTACTTTTCAAAAGTCTCGGAATAATACGTCAAATAAATGACTTCAAAACATTAGAGCAATATATACTAATATTCCAGATTTCATCGAAAAATAGGAGTGCGCGTTATGCAGCGAATATACCTAAAAATTAAAAAATTCAGCTTGAAAGTATGGGTGCGCGTTATACGCCGGATTTTACGGTAAATTTTAATTTCATTCAACGCTTCTGTAGCTTGGTTGGCAAATCGTCTGCTTACTATGCGTGAGGTCAGGGTTCGATTCCACATGATCAACTTTTTTCTTCAATTCATTTAATTATTTTTTAAAATGAAATAAATTTATTTATGAAATGTTTATTAAATATTAAATGATATTTTATGTAATTATTTTGTATTTTATGAACTAAAAAAATTAAATAAACTTATAACTTAAGTTATTTATTAGTAAAATTATTTAAAATTATTATTAATAAAAAATATTTAAAATTATTATTAATAAAAAATATTTAAAATTATTAATAATTAAAAATATTTAAAATAATTATAAATGAAAGTTATTAATAATTAAAATTAGTAAATTAATTATTATTTATTAAAATTAGTAAATTAATTATTATTTATTAAAATTAGTAAATTAATTATTTATTAAAATTAGTAAATTATTATTTATTTAATTTAGTAAATTAATTATTTATTAAATTTAGTAAATTAATTATTATTTATTAAATTTAGTAAATTAATTATTATTTATTATAATTAATTGCTGTTTATTATAATTAATTAATTATTATTAAGCTTTAGTATTAATAAGAAATGTTATTAATTTATTATTCTTATAATTATTATTAATTTATTATTAAAATTATTGTTTATTATAAAAATTATTGTTTATTATTGAAATTGTTATTAATTTTTGTTAAAATTATTTAAATAAATTTATTAAAGTTATTTAAATAAATTTTTTGAAATTAAATAAATTTATTTTAAAAGAACTTATTAAATATCTTATAAAATTATAAAATATATAAAAAAAGACATTTTTTTTATTATATTAATTACAAAATAATTAATTTAAAAATAATATATATTTTATAAATTATTTTATATAATATTCTATTTATAGTATATTGTATTTCACATTATAAAACTATTTTTTTAACTAATTTTTATGTAAAATATCATTTAATATTTATTATATATTTTATGATAAATATTATTTATTAATATAAAAATATTTACAAAATTTAATATAATTACTTATATAATTACAGTAATTTTTTACTTTATAAATTGCAAAATAAATACATAAAATATCATTTAATATTTAATAAAACTTTCATAAATAAATTTATTTAATTTTTAAAAATAATTAAATGAATTGAAGAAAAAAGTTGATCGCGTGGAATCGAACCCTGACCTCACGCATAGTAAGCAGACGATTTGTCAACTAAGCTACAGAATCGTTGGATGAATTTAAAATTTAATTGTATAAAAGCTAAGCATGAATTTCGAAGCCTAATTTCTCCAAATTGGCTGGCCATTCGGCGGAATTACATTGAGGGGTGAACACCCTAAAGGAGTACTACAATTACACCGTCCCGACCTCAAATGAATTTCCTTAGTCGTGCCCTCTCCTCGTTAGATCAGCAAAGAAAAATTTTATTATAGTTACTTTTTATTAAATAATTACAATTAATATAAATATGTATATACATATGACAGAATCACAATATTAAGAGACAAAATAGAAAGCGATTTTCTTTGCAATTTTCCATTTTCCTTTCTTTATAGGGTGGTGGAATATTTTTTGTTTGCTTGTTACTGTTTATTCATTCATTAAATTGAATTATTTTAATAAAATAGTATAGTAAAGGAAATCACACTCTCAGAAATTAGGCTATCCCAGGTGGGATTCGAATCCATGACCTTTGGATTAGATGTCCAAGGCACTATCCATTGCACGACAGGGACACAACGAGCGATTTTCTTTTCCAAATATGCTTTTGGATTATTATTTTTGTTTGTTACTATTTATTTATTAATTAAATTTAATGAATTAATATTTGAAAAAACTGTGTTAACATCAAGTGTCATCCACTGCAACTTTAAAAAATTGCATTTGAACTTGAGGGGACGAGTAAAAAGTATTTTTATAAACGATTGAAAATTTGAACAATATATATATATATATATATATATAAGGAGAGTGTGAACTAATAGTAGGAATTGAAAAAGTCAGATAATTGAAAAGGAAGCATTTTCTTGTTGAAACGTGTTTTTAACTGTCTGTACATTGCATAAACAAATAATTAACTAAAAATACTGAAATTCAATTTTTTTACAATTGAAATTCTTTTAATTAAGTGTAATATTTGCATCTATCATGGTATTGAAATACTTTGTATAATCCTGTATATATAAATTTAAAATTTAAAAAATCCTTTTTTTTTTCAAATAACTTTAAAAAAAGGTTTAATGTTAGTTTTATATTTTTTTCTGTATTTTAAAATTAAACAAATTTCATATTTCTAAATGAAAGAAATTGAATTTTGGCAGAAAGAGAGAAGTCAATAAAATAATAAATTTTTGTATACTGTTGTATGTTTTTGCTTCTTTATATTATTCAGTCTCGTTTCTTGCGTGAGATAAAACAGTTAACCATGTTACAAATTTAAGTATTTTTGGATATAAAAGATTATATTTTAACCGGCTGTTGAGGCTGACTCTCCTCTGTCCTCAAGTTGATGTGCAATGAAAGTTTAGAGAGTGTGGTTTTATCTCAGATGTCGTTCCTCCTTCCTCAACTTTGCTTTAAAATTATGAGGTATGTTGCCAATAGCCTTTATTGTACTCCTAATTGCGTCGTCCGTAAAGGAACTAATCAATTCAACTCTCGTCTGAATTAAGAAAGGGTCGACTAAGCCGAAAGATGGTGTATGTAATGATAGGTATAAGCTGTATTCTTTGGTTTGCCTGTATCAAAATTCATTAATTCATTTTTTGTTAACATTCCATCACATAGGATTGATTTTAAAGAGAACGGTTGCGTAGTCTTCGAGTACTTTCTGTCGATTCGAGTCCTGGGATAACATACGATCGCCGTCTAGAGGGCTGATGCACATTAAACCTGTCAAAGCTATAAGTCCTCAGGTGTTTGGTTCCTCACCAAAGTGAAGACTTTGGCCTTGGTAGTCTGAAGAGTGGAGTGTCAACTTGGATATAGTCCCCGTCAACGGACCGTACTTCAAAATTTTGAAGTTTGTCGCCAATAGCCCTCATGTAACTTCAAAATATGATGTTGATATGCAATTACTACATCAACTGCCCCCCATTAGATGCTAGTGGTAGAAGTTTCAAATATATGATGGAAAATTGAGATGAAATTGATAGATATTGGCTGTGGTCTATCTCAATTAATTACAATAGATACACATCAAAGTTTTAAAATATTTTATTCATCAAGTAGTATTCATTTCTGTAAAAAAATAATGAATTTGATCACCACGGTCTACGGCTCAAAATTACAAGATACCCAGTTAAAATTTAACTTTGAAAATTCCGATTTTTACAGAAACTTTCTTTTAAAAAGTACATTTAGTTACTACAGATAAATGCCCATGATAAGCAAAATATACTTGGCTTATAAGTCCCTATTTAATGTAAGAATTTTCTTTATTTTGGAAAATCTTTTGAAGAATCTTCATAGGTATATTTTCCCAATTATCAAATTTGAGACTGTATCTGGATTTTATAAGTACCGGAAGACATACCAATCTACCATCAGCTTGGAATTCATTATGGGAAACATGTGATTACATTTATCACGTGACTGTCATGAATTTAACCCATTGAATACAACCTTTAATAATAAAAAAAATTTTAAAGGTCAGACAAATAATCGTGAGACGGGTCACAAAGCCAAAACCAAAACCTTTACTTTTCAAAACATATTCAAAGTACCTATTATCGAATTTTTATTGAAATGTTGAATATTATTGGCCGTTTTAGATATGTGTGTATAATGGACCGTGTAAACTTTGTCTTTTCATGAAACTTTACCTTAAGAGTCGCAGGAAAATGCGAGAATCATGATAGTTTACAGAATCGCGAGATTTGGGATTATGAGTTGGTAGTCATAGGCTTCGCTTATCTATAGCTGTGGTTCTCCAATTTATTTTTGATCGTGCACTCCTAAATTGAAAACAACTATAAGAGCCATATTGATATAAAAATGTATATAATCATGGGTTTACTTCTTTCTCGTACCTCCATGTATGACTCTACTCAGATCCTGGGGTACATGTACTCCACTTAGGAGACCACTGATCCAGTGTATACTCTTCTTAAGACACTACAGTCAATAAAGTCGTAGTAATGGCTTGCAAAAAAAAAGCTTTTTTTAAAAAAAAAAAAGAACTGAAACGTTCGATAATGTAAAAAAGTACTAATTTTATATGTCGTCCGAAAATGCAGTGTAACGGTAGCTTATAAAAAAAAAGGAATGGCGTGCATGACTGGAGACAAAGATTTGTTTCTCGGTTGCCAAGAGAAGGGTTCATTTCAGACATAACAAATACTCTTCTCGAATTGATACATTTGAAAAATAGCGAATCGTTCTGCGCCAGTGATCCTAGCATTCTGTTTTTTTTCGAGGGTCAGTCACATTTACAAAATGTATCAAAGTTTTATTTTTTAAATGTGTTTGTTTCACTCAAAAAGACTACTCATTAACGTATTTTTTTCATTGTAAAATAAAAGTGAGGCATCGAAACCAGTAAGAAATCTACAAGATAATTTATAAACATTGCCATAAAAAAAGCAGGATTAATTTAGAGAGATTTAAAGAGAAGAATATATATATATATATACCACCGTGTGTTACGAATATATTCGATAATAATTTTTCGCGTGAAGCGAATAAAACTAGAAAAGCGTATGTTTGAGCACTTATATAGGGGATCTTAACGAGAATTTTTCCTTCTTAATGAAGCTGTCTGTCACCGCCAGACTATCGATGAGTGAAGAAATGTTAGCGAACATCCTAGAACTTCCGTAGAGAATCTCAGAGTTTTACACCAAATTTGATGTTGTAACGTTGTTCAGATTTAAAATATATATATATAATATCAGATATAAAAAAAGAACACTTGATAGCGCTGATTTCTTGTTTCTCATTCGTAGGCGGTCTACTGAGGACTGACAACTTCTGTAGAAATGAAAAAAAAAGAGTGTGCCCATGCGTATCAGGATCATTCGTCTGCGCAAAACCACGTCTTTGTAACGTCGTTTGATAATGTCCCCCCCCCAAATATAGTCGTATGTATAGACCATATTTATTCGAATGTAAACCTCCATCGATTCTAAGCTGCACCCTAAATTCTCAACAAGTTTTTGTGAAAAATGAAAATTAGTGTAAAATAGATTATCGATATCCAATTTTACGAAATTAAAATAAATTTAAAATGTGGACTAGTAAGAAATGAATAATTATTTTACCAGTATTCTAAACCTTTAAATACACACATGAACCTGTATTTTCTATAAATGCTTCATACGAATTTTTTTCCCTTCTAAGCCGCACCCGATTTTCAGTAGCATTAACATTGGAAAAAAAGTACGGCTTAGATTCGAGTAAACATGGTATATAATCTTTTTGAATATGCATTTTAGACAGAAAATACATTGCTTGTGTATTTGAGTTTATTTAGCAAGGTATATATATGCAAGGAGATAATATGTATACAAGCAATATGCTTTATATTTTTTTATATATATTTTTATATTGATTAAAAATGTTCAAAAATATTATTGCTTATAAAAATTACGTTTTTTTTTTAAAAAAATACCTTGCGTATTTGAGGAGCATACTTCACTTTTATTTTCTACTAGCTGCGTAGCCCGGCTTTGCACGGGATTTCTCTTTCCCTCATGACACCAGCAATTATTTGTTGTTTGTGTGTGTGTGTTTGTATGTGCGTGAGTGATTTCTAAAATTATTTCATTAAATTTCCCTTTTTCGAAATTTGTATTGAAACGATTGCTTTTTTTAATGCTTGAATAAACACACACAAACACACACACACACACACACATATATATATATATATATATAATTATAAAAAAACCAGTATGTGGGGGAAAGCCTAGATATATATTTACATTTGTGAAGGTCTCCTAGGACCTCACTTTGAGAACGAGAATAAATAGGAGTCATGTAAGAACCAGTAGCCATTTTTATAAACAACTTTCTTTATTTGGTTATCTTATCCAAATAGAATCAAAGACTTATTGACAAATTTATCTAACTAGTATTATGAGGTCTTAAAGGTAATATCCTTTAAATTAACTTAATTAATTAATGATCCAATTAATTAATTTATTAAATAACGATCACGCAGAGATTACCACGATAAGAGATCCCAGAATTATATTTAATAATGTTCTCATTGAACATTTAACTTTAATCTCACTCCTAAAACTTTAATGAGACTTTAATTATAAATCTATAATTACCAACGGAATCTCAACTCTTCTTGAGATTAAATTATCTCTAACAAGAAATCTTCAATTCAAATTCACTATAACTTTATGCTTCAATATCTATCTCCTACTGCCCTAACTTTACTATTTCGTTTGACTTAAATACTTTATCTAATCTGCATATAACAAGGAATCCTGTCCGCTTTTTGGAGTTGATTGGAAATAGGTAGGGAATTAAATTTCCCTAAAAAGGTCGACTCAGAAGGTTAGTGATAAAGTTCCGTATAGATTTGTCACACATTTACTGAAGAAAACATTCAGAAAGGAAAAAAAAACACCTGATAAAAATATTTTGATATTTTAATTTCATAGTTTTTCATTCCACTGTGTTTAATAAATTATTTAAAGACGCATCGGACGAAAAAAAGTATAATATACAAAACTAACATTCATATTTTAACAATAATTTCCTTCTTAGGTTTTAAAATAAT